AATATTTTTAAATCATCCCGATTCATAGAAGATCTACATATTGATCGTTTGGTTGTTAACTATTTATTAAAATATAACTAAATATTTTTAAATCACGAATATTTCTAACACGAATATTGGTCTGTTTGTTTGTTAGTTTTTACTACTAAACAAAAAAGGGCAGATTATTAAAATTTAACTAAAAGATTTTTAAATCACCGCGGTCCGCAGAAGATCTAGGGCAACCGCCATTAGAAATAGAAATAAAAATAATCTTTATTCAAATAAACTCATTACAAGCACTTTTGAATAGTCATATTTTGATTCTACCACTCATTCGGAATGCAGATTCATCACAAGAAGAACGAGCAAGAAACTTGTGTGTTGCTCTTTTTAATAGATGTGTTTTTGCTATTAATTGCTACTAATATTATGATCACGAATGTCGGTCTGTTTGTTTGTTAGTTGTTACTATTAAACAGAAAAGGGCTAAGAGAATAATCAAATGTAAGTAGAAGATTATGTTACGGTAACGAAATTAAACTGTATAATACCCTAGTATAATTCATACAAAGCCATCTAGTTCCAAGCTAAGAAGACCTTGTGTTATGGGTACTAGATATCTTATATACATAGGTACATAGACTTTTTTTGGAAATACATACATAATAATTACAGTAAAGAAATAATCCACACCAATACAAAACATCACATTCATGAATACAAATGTTTTACCGTGTGAGAAATCGAACCCGCGACCATTGAAGTTAAGGCGGTGTGCAACCGCTAGATCAAAGGGGGCCATTAAAACAACGATATCGTCAGTATAGATGAATAGATTCACATTACTCGCAAATGAACGTTTCATTTCACTGCAGGTAAAACTGAGGGGCGGAACTGGTTGGTATAGATGAACAGATTCACATCTACCTTTCTTTAACAAAACGAAACGTACGAGGCGTTTCGTTTCATTTCACTGCGGGTAAATCTTTACTCGTAAATAAACGTTTCATTTCATTTCACTGCGGGTAAAATCAAGGGGCATAACTAGTCGGTATAGATGATACAGATCTGCCTTTCTTTCCTCGCAAATAAAATTAATTTCATTTGCATACACATCGTATCCGGTGTTAAGGCGCCGCGCCGGTGGTAGGTCTGTCACGTTCATAGTACATATGCACAGTAAGCAGTACCTGACTTGTATTAGGACTCATGACTCAGAACCGCCATGTTGGTGCATTGGTGGTCTAGCGGTAGCGCCTTACTTCCGATTGTTGGATGGTGCACGTTCAGTTCCTCGTACGGAACGAACTTTTGTATGCATGAGTATGTTTTTATTGGTCTGGCTGTTTCTTAGATATATTATATTAGCTGTACCCGTGACTTCGTCCGCGTGAATTTAACAGAAAAGTAGTTAGAGATGTTTTACTAAAATAAAAGTAGCCCAAGTTACTCCTTATTACATCAGCTACCTTCCAAAAAAAGTCCCGTCAAAATCGGTCCAGCCATTTCAGAGATTAGCCGGAACAAACATATAGACAGACAAAACGGTTATTTCATTATTACAAACAGTCACTTCAATTTTATTTATATGTGTAGATGTATGTATATTTATATCAGTTATCTAGTGTAGTACAGATAACACTAGCTCTGCCTAGCTTGGGACTACATGGCGTTGTGTGAATCAATTGATTATAATTACTATAATCTGTACTACATATCTAAATAATGTCTGTTTGTGATTTGAAGTTAAAATATTTTCACTAAATGCATATAAAAACATATACGGTATTTCTAAAAAAAAATTTTTTTCGGGATGAATCTGAAACGTTTGGACCTATTTTGACGTTTGCCTTAAGCCGCTCCTAATAAGTTCCTCCGCGGGTTTGAAGTTCCATCTGCACTCGCCCTCTATCATTCGGTGAAGCTATTAAGGCCAGTTGCGACCAACAAACAATATTAGATGTAAGTAGAACATTTTACCAACTTATAAACGTCAAGAATTTTGTATAATTTCAAATCTTATCAAGTGTGAAGAACTGGCAAGAAACTCAACTGTATTTTTTAAGGCATGGCATGTTTACTTTGTCGAAAATCAAAAAGAAATAGAAAAAAAATATAGCCAAAAAGCCTCAACGTGTGCATATAGTTAGAGTGACTTAAAGAGAGAACGGCTTCTGTTATTGACGGTCTACTGACCGACCGGTGGCCGACCTGACCTGACGGTAATGGTAACCAATTGTTAATTTTTAATAATAATAATCATTTATTCAGCATCATAGTGCAGAGTAAAAATATAGAAAATTTAAAAACTAATATTTCACTCATATTTTATACTAAGTATTAACAGCACCATACAGCCATGAGACTCTCGTCGTCTGCGCGCTGTGCAATATTATGAATCTGTGACGTATTTCGTTTGCGCGGGAAATAAAAAAAACTATATGTATACATACTGAGTTGATTGTCAGCTCTTAACTTAAAATTACAGTCTGATATGAGTTATCGTTAGTGTTTATTAGACCTATATTAATAAGGATATTCTTTATTTTGATTTGATTTGTTAACGATGATAAACAGTAATGCGGAGTACCTCAAGGAAGCGTTCTTGGTCCCTTGTTATTTGTGTTATATATAAATCATCTATCTAGTATAATTAATGATAATTATAGCTTATTTGCTGAAGATACTATATTAATAATATAAGACGAAACTAAGAGTACAATTGAATTAGAAAATAAAATTAATAGAACATTCCTAACAGTAGTAAACTGGTTAGATATGATTAATTTAAATATATTAAACATTATTATTATTTTTGTAATGACACATACAGCACCGAGTTTTCTCGCCGGATAAAGGGTGATACTATCCCATTCATAACATCATATCCTGTTATTTTAAGCGTAAAATATCTGAATTCACATGTTTTTAATTCATGTGTTTAGTAGACCTATATTAATAAAGATATTCTTCATTTTTATTTGATTTGTTAACGATGACAAACAGTAATGCGGAGTACCTCAAGGAACCGTTCTCGGCCCTTTGTTATTTGTGTTATATATAAATCATCTATCTGGCATATATGTGGGTATATTGTTATTAATATTTTATGTTCACCGTCAATATAATAAAGACAATTAATTATATATCCTAGTTAACAGTTGTGCTGAAGATATTATTATATAAATTGTTCATTGATATTATAATGACAAATGACGAAGGATATTGGCTACTTGAAAGAATAAATACATGTGGATCGGTGGCCCACCTACATGAACTTATTAATGATGTGAAATAAAATTAATAGAACATTCCTTATAATCGACTTATGTTATCCGGAAAAACCTGAAAACGTGTCAATTGAAAAAATCGAATCATATAAATATATTAAACATTATTATTATTTTTATAATGCAAACAAACATACAGTCAATAAGCGATTATCTTGTAAAATTGAAGAAATTTTGTAAATTTTCTTCGCCGGAAATAAAAGAGAATCTGCGAGATCACGTTTATGGCATTCATAACATCATATCCTGTTATTTTAAGCGTAAAATATCTGAATTCACATTCATATATTTGCTTGTCGTCAAGCGTATTTGGATTTCAGACAAGTGTTCGTATATATTGTATAAAAAAAGGGCATATAGCAAAAATGAGGTTCTATTCACGGGGTTAGAAAGCGGTTGACAGCCACCTCGTCAGATTGTTCTGATTCCGAGGACGGGGCCCCCGTGACAGTTTTTAAGTGATGACGACTCAGACGAGAAGTGGAACGTTTCTGTTCACATTGATGTGCTTCAGGCGAATGCTAGTGGACGAGGAGGCAATAAGACGTTAAGTGATTGCATTGTTAAATGTCAACAAAACGTGAAACTATGTAAGTTCCATGTTAGTCGTTATAGATAATGAATTCAGTCCATCTTTATTCGGTCGAGATTTCAGGTATTATTTTTCGTCTACCTTTATGTCACCACAAAGTTAATATACAAAAAAAATGTATCCTATATAATCGTGTAGGTTTTTTTTATTAGAATTGTATATTTATTGATGCTGAGCTACAGCGGCTTCAGCATGAAGGCATTATATCACCAGTAGAATGGAGCAATAAGGTTCGTTCTTTTATATGGTATATATACATCGACTATTTTCTACATATACATTCGCAAAAATTGACCTTTCTATTCTAATTAATTTTTAGTGACACAAAAATTTTTGTTTTAATGTACTCTGTAATTTTATTGCTCCAAATATACACAACTGAAATGCAATTTATGGATGCATGATTTAACATTATCAGATATGGATTACACACCTCCAGAGAAATGTAGTTTTTTTCACCATATCGTATTTTCATAACACAAATCGATGCGGACGGGTTACACACGGAAACGTCAAAATTGATGCGATCAACAACACAGCAATTAAAAGAGTTAAAAGCGTTTCTCGGATTGATAAATTATTATGTCTACGGTATTACTTTCCCTTTATATCAATTATTAAAAAAGGCCTTACAAGGCTTATAGCATTCGAGCGCATTATCTTTCTTCTTCAGGTATCCATCGAAGCACGAACAAACATTTGGCGCTGTACAAACAGCATCGCGCATGCTCTGCACGCTCACCGCGCCAGAAAAGAACTCTGGCTGTTATTTTTGCAGTTACTAAGTTTCATGAGTACATATATGGTCGAGAATTCACTTTAGTCACAGACTGTAAACCGCTCGCGTCTATTTTCAATGAAATAAGGGAGTCCCATTGATGGCATCTTCAGCGCTGGGCCGTAATACTAGGCGCGTACAACTATAAAGAAGTGTATCATTAAAACATTTTCTTATAACCAACAGAAGAGAGTACGCGGATCGATTCAAATATTTTACCAACACAAATTCCGTCACAATCAAAATCAGCATCCGATTTGGGTGAACAATGCGTATCATTTATTTGATTGTATCCTTCCCAACATGAACAAACATTTGGTTCAAGAGAGGCTGCAACGCATCAGGGTGCATTAACACATTATCTCGCAAACTGGTTGTGTGGCGCGTGCGGGACGTGCGCCCAATCTTGATTTACCTCTTGTTTAGAGAAGCCTGGTAAACAAGTGCACACGTCTGGCTCCGTGCATGTTCCGTTTTCACAACCTTTCGTGCATTGAGGTTTACATTTGAATGTCGTATCTATAGAGTAACCAGCTTCGCAATGTAAACAATGAGTGGCGTTGAAAGAAGTGAAATTCTTCAAACAATTGCATGTGTTATTGAGAGAGTACACCTTTTAGTTTGTTACAGCATTAACGCAAACAAAGAAAACAGATTGAATATAAAAATAATAATACCTATAGACAATTCAGTTGGTTTAATTGCAGCGTAATATTTCTGTGTTCAGGGTTGACGTACATTCAAGGAGGGTCGCATACGCATACAACGTCGATGGGAGCTGTACATCGTCCTCCGATATTGAATCCCGTGCTGCACTGTGGTATACATAAATCTTTATCACTTAAATATTCCCAGCCATTGCAGCAGACTGTACGCAGCACCGTCGCCAAGTAGGTCTGTAAGAACAAAATAGTGTATATATTAATTTTAGTTATATATTATATATTTTTTTTTGTTTCAGTGTTTTATATATATAATTGAACGTTTTTATATATAGATGATAGCGTACAGGTCATTAATTGTATTTACGAGTCTACAGCATTTTTATTATATATTACTTTGTGTATATATATTTTGATTGGAAGAAAATAAACGGTAACCATCACTTATAGATATATATGAATATATACACTATCTAATATAATTAATGATAATATCACTTATAACAATCCTTTAATAATGAAAGACGAAGCTATCGTTAAAATTAATAGAACATTCTCAAATGACTAGATATGAATCATATAAATATATTAAACATGTTATTATTTTTATAATGACACATGCCAATCTGCGATAAAGCTATGATTCATAAATCATATCCTGTTATTTTAAGCTTATCAAAGTCAAGCTATATGGCGGTATAAGCTTTTGTGAGTTCCAGACCAGAAATTCTGTTAGGTTCACGCAAACAGGACGACTTGTTTCTATCACTGACAATATGTTAATATCCAAATTAAAAAACAAAAATCTTCCTACTAAAATATATTATATAACGTATTTTTTTTTATTAGAACATTTTATTACGCGAGTGATGTTTTTTATGTATATATATATTTACATAAAAAAACGTCTACATCAATATGTCTAGTTTATATAAATTCAATGAAACCAGCAAAACTAAACTGTCTTTAGTCAAATAGTTACCATTTTTGTTTACTAATTTTATTGATATATGAAATGTAAACTGCCTGTTATATCTGACATTAACACACCAACACAAAAAACTTTGTACTAAAACTAATTTTCATAATAAATATAAATTACTCACAGATATGTGAAATAACAATTTTTCTCGATGCATTCGTCTACTTCTTACAATTGGCCTTACAGTGTGTTTTATCTTTCTTCTTCAGGTATCCATCGAAGCACGAACAAACATTTGGCGCTGTACAAACAGCATTCTGACACGTCTCGTTGCATATTGGCGTACAGGAATCATTAATTTTCTTATAACCAACACTGCATTCGCAAATATTTGGACCAACACAAATTCCGTCACAATCATCACATTTGGGTGAACAATGCGTATCATTTATTTGATTGTATCCTTCCCAACATGAACAAACATTTGGTCCAGTGCAACTTGCATTAACACATTTCTCGCAAACTGGTTTACAATCTTGATTTACCTCTTGTTTAGAGAAGCCTGGTAAACAAGTGCACACGTCTGGCGCCGTGCATGTTCCGTTTTCGCAACCTTTCGTGCATTGAGGTTTACATTTGAATGTCGTATCTATAGAGTAACCAGATTCGCAATGTAAACAATGAGTGGCGTTGAAAGAAGTGAAATTCTTCAAACAATTGCATGTGTTATTGAAGGTACACTCAGCATTAACGCAAGGGGGATCGCAAGTTGGTTTAATGCAGTTATTTCTGTGTTCAGGGTCGAGGTACATTGGAGGGTCGCATACGCATACATTGGGAGCTGTACATCGTCCTCCTAAGCATCCCGTGCTGCACTGTGGTATACATAAATCTTTATCACTTAAATATTCCCAGCCATTGCAGCAGACTGTACGCAGCACCGTCGCCAAGTAGGTCTGTAAGAACAAAATAGTGTATATATTACATATATTATATATATTACTCAAATATATATAAAACCATTATATATATTTTAAAAGATGATAGCGCTCATTAATTGTATTTACGAGTCCAGCATTTTTATTTGTGTATACATTTTTGATTGGAAGAAAATAAACGGTAACCATCATCTATAGATATATATGAACAGCACTACGAATATCACCTTAACACATCCACAATACCACTCATCGTTGCCATCTCAAAGGACTAAGCAGTCTTGTCTGTAATTTCACTGCCCAATCTGCGAGCTGTGACCGAAACAGAGCTTACAAAGTCAGCTACATGGCGGCTGTAGTAGACCAGAGGTACGCAAACAGACGACTTGTTTCTATCACTGACAATATGCTAATATCCAAATTAAAAAACAAAAATCATCCTACAAAAATATATTAAAATTCTTCTAAGGACGTTTTGTTACGCGAGTGATGTTTTTTGTATAAATATTTTACTCTACCGTCGAGTTCAATGTAGAAGAACTAGCAAAAACTAAAATGTTTTTAGCCAAATAGTTACCATTGTTTATAATTTAGATATATGTGTAGTGTTATGTCTAACATTAAATATTAATAATATTTAACTTACTACGCGTTTAGGGATCTTCACGACGCATTTCTTCTTACCGCACAGTGTGTTTTTCGTTTGTGTTACGATGCGGATTTTAGTTTTGCGAACGCTGAAACAAAAATACAATGAAATAAATTCCCTGCGTAGTGTACCTGTTTGTACTATAGCTATTATCTGTGCCTTCGGTTTCTCCGAAGAAGAAATTGCGGCTGATTTCAGCTCCTGACCTACCACGTCGCGTCACACCTCGCTTATTAATTATATTATCTACCCGTTCTATAATTAAATCACTAAAATTGCTTTCAGTAATAAAGCCGCCTCATTCCATTTATACTTTTGTTACTTTTCTTTTATGTAAAGAAGAAAAGAAAAGTAACAAAACAAAGTCGCCGCCTCGATATTTACTCCCTTTCTTACCGTATCATCTTTCACACAGTCCATCCATCTCTTTTTTGGCCTTCTCTTTTTGGGCTTCTGTCCATATAACCGTCCACCTTCATATCTAACACCTTTAAAATATTTTCTCCAATAAAATATTAACCTCCTGAGTACATTGTAGGTTATATTTCGAGCAATAAAATCGTCACCTGACCACATCCTATGTTACTTAAATATTCAGTGGCTGTCAGCCCTATGGCCCTGACCTCGTAGACGTGCTGTTTGTCATCGCTAGAACAGTTTTTATTATGAAAAAACACTTCAGAAATGTAGGTTTTGAAGGGGTATTATAAAATCATTGGTACCTAGTTTATAGGTTTTGAAGGGTACTCTATAGGTACTTATACAAATCAATTCGAATTTCTTTCCTATCTACTAAGCCTATATAGCCTATAAGCCATATTAGCCATTTAGATGTCCCATTCCAGACTTTTAAAGTATGTTAGTTAAAAAATAAGAAATTAGTCCACTATGGCAACAGAGTTTGTTTTTATACACACACATTATTGTATTCTAGGATCTATACATCTACATACATATATAAAGCTGATGAATTTGTTTCATTGAATGCACACTCAGGAACTACTAGTTCGAATTGAAAAATTCCTTTTGTATTGGATAGTCCAGTTATCGAAGAAGGTTTTAAGCTATATAACATTACGCTACGACCAATAGAAGCGAAGCATCAGTGAAAAATGTTGCAAAAACGGGGAAAAGTATTCATATTCCAGAGCTTCCGTTGCGTGCGCTGCGAGAACAAAGTCGCAGGCAGCTAGGAATGAATATCTATACATATAATAAATATGTTATCGATCGCTCTCTGTACATAAAAGATGTATGCGAAAGACTATTATTAGACGACTTTATTTTACGACAACGTAACGCAACCCAAACAATGATTGTTAGAAATATATTTGTTTTTTGTATGTGCGTAACTGCGCAATCTCAGAAGCGGCTCAACTGATTTTAATACGGTTTTTAAATGTCACTGATTCGATTCCTGGCACGTTATTAACATCTGTTTTCATCTCGTTTTGGAAAAGAAAAAAAACTAATATAACAGCTGAACAGAAAAAATTGTTTATTGCAAAATTTCTAAATATATACACATGAAAATACGACATTCTCTCTTTTCAAAAAATAACATAGAAAAAAAGAATTGTACAGCAACTCAACAGTTTGTTTTGATCTGAGTGTTTGATACATATATTATGTATGTGTTTACAAAAAAGGATCTAAGTATTTCTGTCCGTTGTTTAGTACCCATAACACAAATTGCTTAGCTTGGAACTAGATAGCGCTGTATGAATTGTGCTAGGTATTATTATACTTAATATTAGAAATTCGTAAGTTTGTCTGTCCGTTTGATACCTTTTAACGACTAAACAGCTGAATGAATCTCAATTCAAAACGTGAAGATAGAAGATAGAAGCAAGTGTAGTGTATAGTGTAGGATGCCCCGCAGCTAGGTGGAGCGACGACCTACGTAGAGTTGCGGGTAGTAACTGGATGAGAAGGGCTGAAGATCGTGCCCAGTGGCGTGCCTTGGGAGAGGCTTATGTCCAGCAGTGGACTGCAGTGGGCTGATGATGATGATGATGATGGGCATAGGCAATATGTATCTCAGGATTGAAAGGGATTGTTAGTAATGTGGACTAATGATCACATCGCTAACAATGAATCAATGTCAGGTTTACCTTCACGCGGTTCACCCTGGAAACCATCGTCATAAATTCCTGGTAAATTTGCCATGATGGTCTAACTGACCTGACCTCATGCTCACTTATTATCCACCACTGGTGTCCCTCCAGTGTAAACCGTTAGCGCAGGCAGGAGCACCATTGCACAATCATCTATTAAGGAGGGGGTCAGCCGTCTTGAGGGATACCAGTACTGTGCTAAACTGGTCTAATTTAACATTCAATAAGACGATGGCGACTAGAAACAAGAAATATGAAATAAGAAATCTGTACATATAAATAAAATTAGAGTGTCTGTTTGTAATATGGAAATAACCGTTTGTTACTATATGCATATGAATAAATACGGTACATACACCAAAATAACATTTTTTACAATTTTTGTCTGTTTGTCTGTTCCGGATAATCTCTGAAATTACTGGACCGATTTTGACGGGACTTACATTGGTAGGTAGCTGATGTAATAAGAAGTCACTTAGGCTACTTTTATTTTAGAAAAAATCTTTAGTTTTAGAAAAATAAGGTTAAATTCCACGCGGACGAAGTCGCCGGGTACAGCTAGTTAGAAATAAGGGATACTAAACACGCCCATTAAAAAATCTATATATTAAGCTGCTTCAACTGTATCGTTGTTTGTTTAGTAAATTCATTCACAATTTCAAAAGCTGTGCTCTTGTCGGTGGAGCTCTTGCCACCTTCCACAATGTTCTATCAATCTTTTTAGTTGTTGGTACGACACGACTTAATTTTATCCTTAGCCTGCTTCCGTATCGTCATACAATTAATCTAAACATATAGTTTAGATTAATTGTTTACGGAAAAAAATCAATATTATAATGTAAAGAACTTGACGTTCATAAGCGGCTAAAATGTTCTATAATAATAATAATAATAAATCGATTTATTGCCAAGATCAGCACAGTTACACAGTTACACATTTATACATATTTAACATGATTGGCAATAGGTACAAACTCAGCTATTGCTGGACTGATGGGCGTCCAGCGCTGGTTTTCAGTTTGTACCTACCTAATCACACGTGCTAGATAACAATCCTACATGAATAAATGATTTTTTAATTTGAATTTGAATGTAGTACAAAATACAGTTAATAAAATATGTAATGTATATAATCAAGTTAATCAGCTTTGCCGTATCATTAGCCAGAAGGAAGGAAGCCGTTGAAGCAATCCGGATGAACCGCTTGGAGTAATGACGGTACTAGTGATAAGATAAATCCTATTTAATCTATACATATAAATAAAATTGGAGTGTCTGTTTGTAATATTGAAATAACCGTTTTTCACTACATGCATAAGAATATAAATAATACATACACTAAAATAACATGTTTTACAATTTTTATCTGTCTGTCTGTCAGTTTGTTCCGGCTACTCTCTCGAAATGGCTGGACCGATTCTGCCAGGATTTTTTTGGCAGGTAGCTGTTGTAATAAGGAGTAACTTAGACTACTTTTATTTTAGAAAAATAAAGTTAATAGTCAAAAATCTTGATTTACATGTCTATCTAGTCGCACAGTAAGCAGAGCTTGTGTTGTAGGTACTAGACAACTGATATAAATACTTAGATAATTTTATTTTAAATATATACATAATAGAAAACATCCGGACCGATACAAACAATCATACTCATGAATACAAATGTTTGCACCGTGCGAGGAATCGCACACGCCATCACCGGAAGTACGAAGTTTTAGAACGTAAGATATAGTGGGTGTTTCTGGTGACCCGTATCACAGATTCTCCAACTATATAATACAGGCACTTCTCTGCAAATGTATTTCAGCATTAAATTTATATAACCAAATGATGCTGTTACATCTTAAATCGTGTCAATGCTGTGATGAGATAAATAATTATTATTATGGTGGTGAGACCAATGAAAGATTACGAGAAAGTCTACTTAACACAGTAGATTTCTGGCATGAGCTATATTTTCTGTATCACTGTAATGTTAGAACTCATTTCGAGCACTGCTGATTCTAAAATACAAGACTTTTCTTATTTAGGAAGCAGGGTTTCACCTTATTTATTAAGGATAAAATATAACATTGTATTGTTCCGTTAATAAATAAATAAATTACTTGTTCAAAGATAAAAAAGTGGGTCATATGGGCTCAAAAAAAAGCAAATGCAGACATAATACTAGATTTAAACAGAAACTTGCAGTTCCTAAGTATCGTTTAGAAAAATTGAATTTAATGACGAACATGCATGGCAATAGTAAGTTCTTGTACGGGATTTTCATTTAATGTTACACATAGACACCTACATAAATATACATTGTAAATAAACTGGCTTTTTATAAAAACAAAAGTATTTCAATTGAGTTTCTTGCCAGTTCTTCTCAATTGAATCTGTATACTGAACTGGACGGTAAGAAAAAAAATATATTATAAAAAATTTGACGTTAATAAGCGGCTAAAATATCCTACACTGTTAATACAATGTTAAATGCGACAACCAGAGTTATGATAGGGGAAATCAGTAGCAGTGAAACTATTAGAGTCCGATGACTAGCAATTTACACTATCAGGTCAACCTCCAAGCTTCCAGAATTTACCACGATGAACTAAATTGCAGCCTTATCTTGCAATCTTTCACAGGGTGTTCTGCATTTGATCAAAATCAACTTTACAAGGTCACCTGGGTAGCTCTATGTCACCTATTTCTGTAAAGTAGCTTGGTTTTCTACCACGATGAACTAACTTATCTTATAATCTTTCACAGGTATTCTGCATTTGACCAAGGTAGACTTTACAAAGTCATCTGGGTAACTATGTCACCTATTTCGGCTAAGCAGATTGATTCTTACCCTTCAATCGACAAGACAGTGAAATTGCAGGGTATATAGGCTGCGTAGTGCTGCTACTAATATCACGTTGAAGCCCATGATATTCTTTTAAGCGTTACGTTTACAGAGGACTAAGATATCTTGCCCTATACCCTATAATTTTACTGCCCTGACTTACCCTTCAACTATAATATAACTTTAGTATATACGATGCTTTGTAAAAAAAAAAAAAAATACCTATGTATATGTATCATGTTACTATTTCGGGCAAGTATATTGGTTCTTACCCTTGAATCGAAATACACGCTATATTTCGATTGAAATCAATCGACAAGACAGTGAAATTGCAGGGTATATAGACTGCTTAGTGTTGCTACTAATATCATGTTGATGCCCACGATATCCTTTTAAGCGTTGTGTTTACGGAGGACTAAGATATCTTGTCCCTATACTCTGTAATTTCACTGCCATGTCTTACCCTTCAACTGAATCACAGCGTTAGTATATACGATGCATCAATGTAGGTAATTTTATTATTCCATGCCGTGGTACATATTAAAACACAGGCGACCTATACGAGAAATCGAAGTCGAGTTGCTCGTTTTATACAAAGTCACCGACTCACCTTCTATGTTACCAGATATTTCAGACAGGGCGATTGTTGATGCGCTGATTGCTAAAATAATCAGCACATGAATCGAAATATGCATCGTCGGGGCGCTTTGGACTGGAAAGGCCGGAACATGCTCGCTAAAAGTATAAATAAAAAAAAGAAAAAAAAAAAGAAGGGAAGGGAGAAAAGAAGGAGGAAGGGAAAAAAGGGGAAAGGGAAGTGAAAAAGGGAAAAAAAAATTGCCGAATTACGACAAAAAGTGAACTGTGAAATTAAACAATCAATAATTAAACAAAACCTGGACTATATAGTGAACTTTGAAAATAGTGTTAAAATAAGAATTCATATAATATCATGTTGATTCATAATGTGTATTGTTACATTATGAATTCCATTTTGTAATGAAAACGTTGTGTTTAGTAGTGTAAGATTTATATAATTGTATATGCATATTGATAAATCTAATCTTCCAAATTGGGTGACACTGCATGTTGTCAACTCACCCGGCCGGCCAGCGGTGGTTCTGGGCCAGACGGATATCTGCCTCGTTAGTCACTGTAGGCAAATTGTTTCTCGGCTGGAGTTGTACAAAAATGGAAATTAAATAAAAATTATAATATTAAACTAAATTAAAAAAGGCACGGACGAATATGTCTGTGGAAAAATGTATTTAAATATAAAAAAAAAAAAAAAAGTATATACGATGCTTTTTAGGTCGTTACAAATTTTATTATTCCAACTACATATTTAAAAACAACCTATACGTGACGTATTTTTTTTTTATGATAATGGAATGGAGTATTCTGTTGCGCTAACGGTATACACTGGCGGGGCACCAGTACAGGGTGATAAGATGAGTATCAGGTCAGGTCAGTTAGCCCATCGGGGCAAATTCAACAGGAATGTAACATGTTTTCCAGGGGGAAAAGCGTGTATATCAACCTGACATGGGACATTGCTAGCAATGGGGTTACTAATCCACATTACTAACAATCCCCTTAGCCCTGACCATTAAAAGTAAAAAAATAAATCGATAATAAATCTTTACATATACCTAAATAAAATTAGTGTGTCTGTTTGCAATATTGAAATAACCGTTTTTTACTACATGCATATACTTTGCGTTTCTTACTATAAATACGGTACATATACCAAAATATCATTTTTTATAATTTTTACCGATTTTGACGGGACTTTTTTTGGTAGATAGCTGAATAAGGAGTAACTTAGGCTACGTTTATTTTAGAAAAAAAAAGTTAAATTCCACGCGGACGAAGTCGCGGGAACAGCTAGTCTTAAATAAATATTAATAGAACACATAAATAAATACCTCGATTTCACAGTGCAAACCCCTTCACCAGCTTTCAAAGCATCAACTTGATACGCAAAATTTATACAACACAACACAAATAAAACACAAAACCGTTCTGCCTTCATTTTACTAACACTATCTACTGTCTCTATCCCACTTACTAACTTGTCAATCTAAGCGGCACGTTAGTTGTTTCTATCTCTTTTATTTTTCATAAAGCACCACCATCATGGTACCGAGACAATGAGAGTATGAGCATATCATACTATCGCCCAAACTACTTCAAATGCCCATATCATTAATATGAAGACCTCATTACAGTGAATCAAGCTATTTCAACCCTTATTTTAATGGGCATAAAATGCAGCGACCTGTCCATTGTTACATATGATTCATTGTTACGGATGAGTATCCTTGCATTAATTGGTATAATATTTTGTATCATTCGAATATTTTTTGTATGTAAAAAGGTGCGATAAACATATCTCTGTGTTTAACAAACCTTTTTATATATGTAACTAGCTGTTCCCGCGACTTCGTTCGCGTGGAATTTAACCTTATTTTTCTAAAATAATCATCACCTAAAGAACCAAAAATTATTTTGTTCGTCTTAATTTATTCGTTCCATTAGGTACTGATAGATTCAAACTAATACATGTACATCCTGCATCATCCCTTATTTTATCCCCATGGGGGTTGTATTTATCAAAATCCTATTTAAGCGAAAGTCTTCATCATAGTAGCTCCAATCTTAATTTCAGTTCAACCAGTCGAAAATCTGAGAAGATTTATACAAACTTTCATGCCCTATTTTATCCCCTTAGGGGTGGAATTTATCAAAATCCTTCTTCCTCCTTCTTAGGGGATGCCTACGTCATAGTAGCTTTATGCATGCAAAGTCTCAGCTCGATCGGTTTAAAATTGACAAAGTTTCATACAAACTTTTTTTTTATCCCCTTGGGGATAGAATTAATCAAAATCCTTTCTTAGCGGATGCCTACGTCATAACATCTACCTGCATGCCAAATTTTAGCCCGATCCGTCCAGTGGTTTGGGCTGTGCGGTGATAGATCACTATGTCAGTCACCTTTGAGTTATATATATTTAGATTACTAATATCGCTAATAAAAAATAGGGGTTGGGGGTAGAAGGGTGAAAATTTAAGGTTGTACATACTTACGCCACAGTACAAAAATATAAAAAAATAATTGTCCAAAAATAAAAATAAATGTAATCACTTAGAGATGAAAAATTTCATAAAAAAAGTTTCAGAGGAGTATGGTAACTGACATATTGACACTAGAATTTTAAATATAAGATTGTATTTTTTATATATACATTTTAAATACCACTTTTCTTTGTTTTTTATTATTATTGTTACTTTTCAAATAAACGTCTATACCATCAGCGACCTCAGTTTCTCTTCATATAAAATTATTCACCATCATTCATCATACAGTCCTCAACAAACCAAGTCATTAAAAATCTGTATGGAATACAGTGGAATAAATATGATATTCATTCAAAGAATTTTTACCTCGCAAAACCGAAATTTTAATATTTTTTATGATGTATAATTGTACTGTAAGGAACCGATATTTGTAGTACAGGTTTCGACCTACTTCAAACACCAGTCTCGAACAAGGAATAATTATTGTTGTAATTACTTGATAGTTTCTTGTGAATAGTAAATATGGATTCTTCTAATATAATTATTTTAATCTTTTGACGACCTCCGTGGTCTAGCGGTCTTGCACACCGCTTTACGACCGAAGGTCGCGGGTTCGATTCCTCGTACGGCACAAACATTTGTATTCATGAGTTTGTTTGTATCGGTCTGGGTGTTTTCTATGTATAATATGTATATATTTACAAAAAAAAAATCTATGTATATGTATCAGTTATCTAGTACCCATAACACAATCTTTAGCTAACTTAACTTGGGTCTAGATGGCGCTGTGTAAATTGTCCTGAGATTATTATTATTATATTATCTTTGATTAGTCATTTTTTTCTAAAGATAATGAACATTTTGACAATTTTATATTTTGAAGTTAATATTTTAGGAATAAGAAAATGAATTGTAATCAGAGTAATCTACCACAGGTAGCAACCGTTCACGAATATGACGAATGTTTCACTGAAAGTAAAAAAAACTTAGAAACGACAATAGAAGTTGCTAGTAATGTATGTTACATTACTAATGTATGTAATGTATGTATTATAGTAATGTATGTTACATTATTAGCAATCAAGTCGACCTCCACGCGGAAACCATGGCGATTAATTCATAGTGAATATTTATATATACATATTCACCACAATGGATTAGTCGACCTGGCTGCGTCCTCATTCTACCCATCCGTCAGCTCAGGCGTGTGCACCATTGCACTATCTGTTTTATTTTGTATTTTATTTAAAGGTGCAATAAGGAGTAAATGACTAAATAAATATCATCAAATAAAAGAGAGGATATACTCATAAACAAATGGAATATCTAGTGAATTTACATATTACTAATAACTGACCTCGCAGAACTTGTTTTGACATAGAAATTAAAATCGCTATTAAAAAATAAGGGTTGGTGGCAGAAGGGTAAAAGTTTAGGGTAAAAAAAAATAATGATAGGGTTGGACAACCCTTAGCACTTAAGAGTATGAAGAATAGATAGTAGCCGATTTTCAGACATACTCAATATGCATATAAATTCATTAAAATCGGCCAATCCGTTTCGGAGGAGTATGGTAACTAACATTCTGACACGAGAATTTTATATATAAGATTAATACCTATTTTTAGAGTGCGTTATAATGGGAGATTATATAAATTTTATGTATGTCTGTGGCATCATACTTCCAAAACAAAATCGGATTCGCATTTTTTTTTAATTTTGAACACCAGCGCATATTGATTCGCTTTTTATTTTAAACAACGAAATGAGTCTTAGATATTACGAGGACTTATTTATTTAAGCATTGCATTCTATAATTTTTCAGTAAGCAGTTGGTAAGTAGTTAAATTCACAGCAGATCAATTATGGACCCTGTTGGGACCAGCAAGCAGAAGAGAAGAGAGGAGGACGAGTGCGTAGTAATATGATTATAAATTTGTATAAAAAAATCATATTAAATAAGTTAGTAACTTAAGTAATTATTAAGAAATGTATACTTTACTTAAATGCCTTTTATTTAAGTTCTTTTTATTTATTGACGACCTCGTTGGTCTAGCACACCGCTTTACGACCGATGGTCGCGGGTTCGATTCCCCGCACGGCACAAACATTTGTATTCATGAGTATGATTGTTTGTATTGGTCTGGGTATTTTCTATGTATAATATGTATGTATTTACAAAAAAAAAATATCTATGTATTTGTATCAGTTGTCTAGGACCCATAACACAAGCTTTAGCTAGCTTAACTTGGGTCTAGATGGCGCTGTGTGAATAGTCCTGAGATTATTATTATTATTATTATTTAAGTTCTTTTTATTTATCATCTGCTTCTTCCTTATTCTATATATTTGGAGTCGACATAATATGTTTTTCTGTTCCATTCATCCTTGTTCGCAGTCATTTCGTTAATAGGAATTTATTTTTAAATAGCTAAGCTCGCGATTTCACCCGCCTATATATTATTGTAATGTATAAGCTATATATTATTGAAAAGTTTTATCAAAACCTACTCACAAACTTTTGCTTTAATAATAATAATGTTATATAAGATAGTCTAATTTCGACCTTATTTTAATAATAAAATAAGGGCGAAATTAGTCTATCTTTCATCTCAAAAATAGAGGGAATTACAGAATAAACGAAAAGCAACTACTAGTATTTTATAAATTAGGCCTATATACACACAGACATGATAAGATGCATAGTGTTATATCTTGTAGGTTTAAAATAAAATGTTATCACAGATAAGGGAGACTCGGGTCACAGAAAGCGGGGTCGTGTTTGAGATCATTGACACTCATTACTGGGTGAAATGCTTCGGATACTGTAATTGATATGATAATGGCATTCGTCATAAAATATGTTTCATGGGCCTCGGTGGATACTGATTCAGACAGTTTTATTCTATCTATACATATAAATAAAATTTAAGTGTCTGTTTGTAATATTGAAATAACCGTGTCTTACATGCATACGAATATAAAGACGGTACATATACCAAAATCACATTTGTTTACAATTTTTGGCTGTCAGTGTGTTTGTTCCGGCTAATCTCTGAAATGGCTGGATTTTGACGGGACTTTTTTTGGCAGGTAGCTGATGTAATAAGAAGTAACTTAGGCTACTTTTATTTCAGAAAATTAAGTTAAACTGGTCTGTTCGGGTGACGAAAACTGATTAGACTATTTGCTTTTGCAGTATAGTCAGTTTATTCTCCTAAATTTGAATTTAAAAATGAATCTGTATTATTGTAAACATGTACAACATTTATTTGAAAATAATACGAGCTGAGTTAGTTCTCAGTTCTTTTCATTTTTAAATCATTCCGAACTGACGGTAGATTTGACATATCATAAGGAGTTTGTAATAGACCTACATTAATAAAGTTACTTTGAATTTTAATTTATTTACAATAGAATACAAATTTATTAACACGTACTTGACGGCCTCGGTGGTCTAGCGATTTAGCAACCGCTTTACTTCCGATGGTGGCGAGTTCGATTCCTCGCACGGTGCAAACATTGTATTCATGAGTATCATTTTTTATATCGATCTGAACGTTTTCTATGTATTATGTACGTATTTACAAAATAAAATCTAAGTATTTATATCAGTTGTCTAGTACCCATAATATAAGGTCTGTTTACCCTAAGTTTGTAATATTATCTGTGCCGTGAGACAAGATAACGCTGTGTTAATTGTCCAGGGTTATTTATTATACTTCATAGTTATTGAACGGTATTTTAAGGCAATATGGAGTTTCAAACCTTTTAAGCTTTGATGTACCTCACTCTGTCGGAGTTAGACACAACACGAACAGAGTATGATCATGAATACAAGTGTTAAATAAATATATTGATAATTATGCCAATAAATAAATCAATATTTGATCGTCGTAAACCAATGGTTTACGCGTGGTTTAATTTAGTGTAAAACTCGTTTTATATTTATTTCAACATCAGCAATTTATACTAAGCTAACTCGAATTTTCTATTAAATATAAAAAAAAATATTATATATAAAAAACACACATTTTAAGCAGTTTAGCATAAAAAAAAGATTTTTTTATTATATATAAAACAACACCATTTTAAGCAGTTGAGCATAAAAAAACAAATTTTCTGAAAATTTGAGTTAGCTTAGTATAAATAGCTGGTGTCGAAATAAATATAAAAACGGGTTTTACACTAAACTAAACCACACGTCAAAATTAATTGCAATTAATTACGTCTTCCTGAAATCTACGTATTCATAACAGGAAAATTTATAAACTGATCACAAATTAACTATATATGTCATATTCCATTATAAAGTTACGGCTCAGGCAGCCGCCAATAGTTTTGTGGTGTTCATGACTGTGTTAGTGCAATATGAATTTTTATTTCAACATATTGTTTTATACGGTAACTATGTTTTAAACTTTTTCACGCTTTATATAAACGAATTATTTATCACAATATTATTATAGAGCTACCGATATTTCGATGCGGTTTTTTTTATGTGTATTATAATGGAATGATGTACCCCCCTGCGCTATCGGTTTACGCTGGCGGGCCACCAGTGGAGGATGATAAGATGAGCATGAAGTCAGTTCAGTTAGCCCATCGTGATAAATTCACCGGGAATTTATCACGATGGTTTCCAGGGGGAACCGCGTGGAGGTCAACCTGACATGGTATATTGCTAGCAATAAGATAGTCAATCCACATTACTAACAATCTCTTTCCCCCAATTCGATACGGTTACAAACCTCAGATCTACTAGATGGCCTAGTAGTTAAGCACACCGCCTTTCCGATGATCACGGGTTCGATTCCTTGCACGACACATACATCTGTATTCATGAGTATGATATTAATAATAATGTATGTATTTACGAAAAAAAATATATCTATGTAATTGTATCAGTTATCTAGTACCCTTAACATAAGCTTTAGCTAGCTTAACTTGAGTCTAGATGGCGCTGTGTGAATAGTTCTGAGATTATTATTATTATTATAAGGGTAAATATCTAGTTTATAATATAATCATATCTAAGAATATTGGGATTCTCGGTGTCGACATCTCCGTAGTTACCTCGAAGAAAAGGTGCAGCTGGCGTCCAAAAACCTCTCTGTGCTCAAAAGAGCGAAGCGGTACTTCAATGTGGACCAGAGACTCATGTTATATAAGTCACAGGTTCGCTCGCATAAGGAGTACTGATTTCATCTTTAGGCAGGAGCACCTGGATACCAGCTTGGTTCGGAAACGTGCTATGAGAATTACCATGATGCTTATCTCTTAAGCAGTATCAAACCACTTAGCTTGTTGTACTTGTTTGTTATCAACTTCTTTAATATTTGATATTTCAGACGATCTTTGGATCTGTTCGCAATGATTGCACGGATTATTACGTACTTTTTGAAGTGGGTCCACATTATTTGAAGCCAATATCCGAGTAAGAATTTTATTATTATACTACCTGTATCCGCGATTTTGTCCACGTGGAATTTAACTATATTTTTTTAAAATAAAAGTAGACTAAGTTACTCTTTTTATATCAATTACCAGCCAAAATAAGTCCAGTCAAAATCGGTTCAGCCATTTCAGAGTATAGCCGGAACAAACAGACAGACAGGCAGACAAAAATTGTAAAAAATGTTATTTTGGTGTATGTACCGTATTTATATTCATATGCATGTAGTAAAAAACGGTTATTTCTATATTACAAACAGACACTCCAGTTTTATTTATATGTATAGATTTATTTTCTTTTTCTTTTCTCTTCTTTAAAAGGAGATGATACTCACCCACACGGGACTTAGCCAATTGTAGGAGAGGTTGTGTTATGTGAAGATATTATTATTATTAAAAGTACATTAGGAGCATTTTACTTTTACTTACTTTTCTTTAACTTTTTGTTTTTTTTATGGTTCTAAATTTTTTTCTTTTTATTAAATAGTAATAGGAGAAATTATATATTTATTTTTGTCTGTACTGCGTTGTATTTGTCTATCATGTGTGTCACTTTACCATTCATATAAATTTGTTTTTTTATGATGATAAGAAATGGAAATAAACCTAACTCAAATGAACTCAATATTGAATAGTCATATTTTTTTATTCTACCACTCCTTCGGAACGCACACTCATCACAAGAAGAACGAGCAAGAAACTTGCATACTATTATAATGCGAAAGTAACTCTATCTATCTGTCTGGCGGCGCGCTTACATGCAAAACTACTGAACCGATTTAAACGAAATTTGGCACACAGATAGTCTAGTTCCTGAGAAAGAACATACGCTACTTTTTAATACGAAAAATGGCTTGTAAGTGGTTAAAAGAGTAAATGAAAGGTTGTATGGAAGCTTGTTAAAATTTTACCCTTAAGGGGGTAGAAATAAATATAGGATCCTAAAATGAACCGATTTTGTGAAATTTTTTTATGTATACTCGGTAGGTCTTAGAATAAGTTGTTATCTATTTTTTATACCTCTAAGTGATACCCCTCAAATATATTTTTTGACACAATATATTTTTTTAGTCCTATTGGAAACTGGGATGGATTATTACGCAGATCAAATTCGACTTTGAAGAATATTGATAAAGAGTGTGTTATTACAATGGATTGCTTGAGCGTAAGTGAATGCGAAGCAAACTCTAATAGATGGACAGATACAAGTCATCTCATTGATATATATCCAGATAAGACATCAACTTCTGTAACAGAAATATATGAAAAAATTATAGATGGGGAAAATTATACAACAACGTATTCAGATGAGGCAGTCACTACTGATAGTAATACTGATAGTACAAGTGAAACATATCCTGAAACAGAAAAATCTGATGACATGTATGACGAAACTACGCCGTTTACAAGTACTGATAATTATAAGGAAATTACTATAAACACCATTGAGGTTAGTACGGAAATTAATATAATAACAAATTTAGATGATACTGTAGAAAATGTACGCGAGTGTCGCGGATTAGTCGCGTCTCTAACTTACATGAAAGAGGTTGTGACTAATCAAATCTTATTGATACAACAAAAAACTATGGCTTACTTGCTGGTAAAGCAATCATCGATATCGAAGTAAGAAATAATCGGAGAGACCACAGTAGGCTCGCTACCTGCCATGTTAGACTCAAATCAAATCGAAATATCTTTAATCATGTTGGTTTATTGTCAAAACTACCATTAGTTTGGAGAGCGTTAGATCTAAGAAGAACTAACAAGAAACTCAGCTATTATTCTTTTGTTTATACATATGTTTACAAACAACAGATTCATTTTTAAAATCAATATTAGGAGGAATATAATGAGCGAAATGTGGGTACGTCAAGTGTTGTGTTCGCTACAGCATCAACAGTTGACACTACCTCATCTGAGTTACGAGGCACAACGTTATTTTTATAGAGAATATTAAAGGAAGTGTTGCAGTTAATAATACTATGTTGTCGGTTGAGACGATGAACGAACGTGCATGGCAATAGTTTTTAATGCACGGGATTTTCATTTAATGTTAGACATAGACACCTATATAAATATACGTTGTAAATAAAGTGGCTTTAAAAACAAAAGTAATTCAATTGAGTTTCTTGCCAGTTCGTCTCAATTGGATCTATATACTGAACTGGACGGTAGGGAAAAAATTAAAATTACAATGTAAAAAATTTGACGTTCATAACGGCTAAATAGTTCTACATGAATAAATGATTTTTGAATTTGAATTTGATGATAATGGACTGACAAAATGTACATAAAAATATTTATTTTATATATTATACTAAATAACAATAGGTAAATGTAAGGTGGGGTGATACAGTTTAGACACGGCAGTGCTTAGCAGACAATATTAAGTTTGTCTTACTAGGAATTTATGTAAATGAAATTGCAATAATTAAACTGATGTATCTATGGTAACTGTGTCCCATAGGAAGTAATACAGAAATTGTTATTTTACAGACTACCATAGACCCAGTTACTGATGAAGATAAACCAAATACAACGAATGACATAATAAACAATGCATCCACAACCAGAAATATTACAAGCGACAAATATAAAATGTCAGAAAAAAATAAAAAACAATTAATTATACTAGTACAAATATTAGGGGTAGCTGTCGTTGGTGGTGTGATAGCGTATTTTGTTATAAAGAGAATAAAGACAGTTCTGCAGTCGGGGACATACAGTAAGTACTTTCTTTACAATTGCTTATGTATCTAATAGGAATTGCAAATAAGCTGGTGACTCACCTGATGGTAATTGGAGAACTCTGTGAATCTTTTTTCTGGCAAATTGTCAATTTGAATTCAAGATTCAAATGTCTTATGAAACATTTCCTTTGCAAATAAGGTTATTATAAAATTGAAGAGTTTATTAATGATAATAATATTTTTGTATAAAATATCTAACTTAAAATTCATAGTGCAGACAATGTTATCTGATTGAACATAGATTGAGTGCGTATCGATTTCTATGTTGATTGCAGCATGCCTAATCCTTGTTAATGTAAATCTACTAAAACAACATTTTTTTAAAAGAGGTACAATATAGCCTTTATTTCCAGTAAATCTGGGTTTTATAATACAACTAGTTAACCACCCCGACTTCGCACGGGTCTACATGTATTATACATATAAATCTACCTCTTGAATCACTCTATCTATTAAAACAGCTTCAAAATCCGTTGCGTAGTTTTAAAGATTTAAGCATAAGTACATAAGGACGGACAGACAGCGACCGCGACTTTGTTTTGTACTATGTTTTATACTATGTTTTAGACTTTGTTTTGTTCTATGTTTTATACTATGTAATAATGATTTGTTTTCTGTATTTCAGTATTTCCCGATCCATAATACCAACGATTGGATAACTTGGTAAACTTCCATTAATAGTTATATTTAATAACACTAAATTTAAATGTTGGTGATATACATATTAGTCATATACACGAATATATGTATGTTCCAAGTGTATGTAGCACATATACATTTCGAACCAAATGACTCATACATATAGAATTCACGCCTATGGTACATATAGAGCAGGCAGGAACTTACTAATATTTATTTATTGTAATTCTTTTTTTTTAACTAGTAATATACCTGCCTAAATGTAAATATTTATTATTAATTAATACATATGTTTGTTGTAAATTCTAAATTATTTATTTATAAAAATACAAAACCTGCGACTTTTACCGCGTGGGATATAATTTTTTCTGTTTTCTTAAAATAAATAGAAATTTATAAAATAAAAGTAGTCTATATTTTTTCTTATAACATTAGCTATCTGCGAGTGAAAGTTACATTAAAATTAGTACAGCCATTTCAGTAATTTTTTTTACAAAAATATTTTATATAGGTACCGTATATACTTATTTAAATTATTTTCATCGTGAAGGACTTTGCATGAAGTCGCCTGAGTGGGTTCTTCAGTCTCAGCTATACCAGCCGCTCAACAGCTCGCTTTGAAAGATGTGTTTCGGTTTAATGGAGAGCTGATCATAAAATTACGAGTTACTAGCTTTTACCCGCGGTTTTGCTCGCATGTTTTTTTTTTAATAAAACGTATCCTATATTCATTCTAATGCCTCCAAGAATATGCGTACAAAATTTCATGATGATCGGTTCAGTAGTTTTTGCGTGAAAGCGTAACAAACGTACCTACAATCACATTTATAATATTAGTAAGAGTACGTATAATACCTGCACATTTTAGTACAAAAGCCGAGATTTTCAAACATTTTTATTGCACCCATACGAAACTGGGGCGGGTCATTAGTTATATATAAAATGTATAACAATATTTCAGTACAAATATTAATTATGGAGTATAATTAGAAGTAATTGATTCTATGGAATACCATAGCGCACAGTAATAACTCTAGGTATATTCTACGCGAACTAAGCCTCAACTTATCTATCACTTACTTGTTTTGCCCTGAAATACAACAATTTCAACAACATTCACAACAGTGAAAATGTATTATTAGAACAACAAATAAAATTCAGTACCGACATGGTTGTATCCAAGACGCTCTATACACGTAGTATATGCGCATGTCTCGAAATTTTCAACCATCGTATTGCGAACTCATTCTCCGTTACGTATTAGTCATCTATTTCATAGCATACAATGCGGATGAAGATGGATCAAGAGAGAGTGGTCGTTGATAACTTCAAGCAGGTCTTGTGTTCGGCAATCTTCGGGTATCGTCGTGCCGTCCTCGTAGCACGTAGCAGTTCTACGAAAATTCTGATTTTACAGGTTTCATTTAGGGTTATAGTAATTTATTTTTAATTATTTATACACTTTATTGTACTAAATACAGAAAAATATCAATTAATATAAAAATATATGTAATATATAACAATAACTAGTACAAAAGGTGACCTTATGGCTTACAGACAACCTCTAAGTACAGATTTGAGAAGAGAGTAGTAAATATGTTTCTTTTGTTAAGTTCTCTAATATTGGATTAAATTTACATTTGTATTACATAACTTTACTACTAAGTGTTATAAAACATCAACAGGTTATACAAACTCGAACTCGAACTCTATGGCAACAAAAGACTGTAATTTTTGAAGTCAAAGTTTTACTCAGTAATGTAATATTATTGGATAATGTGATGTCGTAATACTGTTCATCCACGAATATATAGGCCGCAGTTACCATTTACCATAAATGGGTCGTCAGCTTGTTTACCATTAAAATTACATAAAAAGTAAACAATTTTTACGATGTTCACCCCACAGTTGGATGTCCTCAAAAGCCTCACGTTGCTGAGTCCGCCCCTGTCGATAGGGGTGCAATATCCGCGCAGGCGCGACCCATCGATACCGCCGCCGCCACAGCCCCAGCGGCCGAATGCACGCGCCATGCTATCCAATAGACAAAAAAAAAGCACAAATTAAAAAAAAATAATTAAAACCAATATCCGATCAAACCCCGCCAATAATTTATTTGCAAGCCGTTCATAACCTATTTAAAATTAGAATGTGTCATTCATTTTTTAGAATAATATTTTTCTTTTATTCTTAATCGTTATAATTTATTTTGTGCCAGTGATAATGTTTAATATTGTGTTGTGATTAACGATTAAAAAAATATATTAGTGACTTTAAATAGTAATAATCTTATATAACGACATGACAATCTTTTGTTAATTAGTCCATATTGTTTTTTAATTGATAAATGAAAGGACTGTGATGTGAAGTCTGGAAAGCGACTTGCGTAACTTCGACCGGCGTTGGTAAGTACGAGGTACCTATTACATATGTTTAATACTTATATATATGTTTGAAGCAATGACATAACAATAGGCGGGAGTAGGTAGCAAATGTCTTTAGATATTCATTCTCATCATTACTAAGATACAGGATTCCTTTTTATGTGTGACTAAAATATTTAAACAAAGAAATAATCATATAATGGTATTAAAGTTTTAATACCTATAAAATGAATTAAAATGACATATAAATTTCAATACATTTTAGAATACAATGCACCTATATATTTTTTTTTATGGTTTTAAATTGGTGCACCATACCATATTTACCAATTTAAAAACATTTTATAAACCATAAAGCGCGATCCCTATCCCGATTTAGAGGGACAGTATAACCGACCAGCCATGGTCCAAGTTGTTCTTCTTCTGGCTCCGATGCCTATCTTATTAGGTAGCTTTATAGGTGTGTACAAGTCTCGTGTAGGTAGATGTAGACAAGTCTCGTGTCTCATGTCTCGGTCCATCCAATTATTATCAATAGGCAATTGGATAAATAACTTCTAAATTTGACTAAAAATACTTATATACCTGTGTTATTTATGCAAATACAATATAATGGCATCCAAGCACGTGGGTCATCTCCTGGAAAGTTTATCATTATTGCTTCCATGTACATCGAATATCATTTCATATCGTCATGCATTTTTCTTTTGCACAGCGCCATCTAGTCCCAATGTAAGTAGAGCTTGTGTTATGGGCACTATTCAACTGATAAATACTTAAATACATTTTTTATAAATACATACATAATATATGTCAACAGGGGAAAGGGGATTGTTAGTTATGTGGTCTGATAACCCTATTTCTAGCAATGTACCTCAACACGGTTCCCCCTGGATACCATCGTGATAAATTCCTGGTGAATTTCCCACGTAACTGACTGCCCTGACCTCATATTCATCTTACATCCTCCACTAGCGTCCCGCCAGCGTAAACTGTTAGCGCAGGCGATAGCAGCATGCCATTATCATCCATTAAAAAATATATACTTGTACATAGACAACATCCAGATCCAAATAATCATTCTCATGAATACAAAATTTGGCCCGTGCGAGGAATCGAACCCGCGACCATCGGAAGTAAGGCGGTATGCTTAACCATCACCGAGGATGTATAGTATAGACATTATACCAATCCTGGCTAAGGTGTCACGTAATGCCATTATATACTATAGATTCTCTGCCATTACTTACCTTTGAAACTGAAGATTTTGGAGAGCCTAAAGTGGTACGGTCATGCCATGAACCGACCGTCAGACCACATGACAATATCAGTACTTGACATGAGTGGATACTCATGTCGAGTACTGATATTGTCAAGATCCAGCCCAGAAGACGCGGTAGACCCCGTCTCACATAGAGGTCAGTTATTGAGAGAGATTTAAAAAGCGCCTAAATAACAACCTAGCGACCCAAGGCCCATCCTGCTTCGCCAGGATCTGATCAGATGACTCCAAATAAATGGAACCAACGCCAGGCAAAAGAAGAATACTTACCTTTGAAACTGGTAGCTGAAATATCTGCCTCACAGATATCTGGTACTACAAAATAAAAATAGGTGACTGAGAGCAATAGCAGACTGGAGTAACCGCTACTAAATAATATATAAAGCGATGATAATGGAAACAGACTATAAAATAATAGATTAAAAACCGTCTCCAGCCGGTCGCCCTTTAAAGGGTCATAAAATTTACAGCCCTATATATATTTCATGACTATAGGAAACACCCGTTGACCTGAATAGGAGCATTCCAGTAGTACGTGATTTCACTTCTGGGCAATTAAACACCTTTATTAAAATACATTTTGCAGATACCAACCCATAACAAGGGGATTGTTGTAATGTGGTCTAGTGATCCCATTGGTAGCTGATACCAAGTCAGTTCGACCTCCACGCGGGTCCCCCTGGAAACCTTCGTGATAAATTCTCGGTGAATTTCACGTTGGGCTAACTGAGCTGACTTCATGTTCATCCTATCATCCTCCACTGGTGCCCCGCCAGCTTAAACCGTCAGCGCAGGCGGGTGCACCATTCCATTATCATCCTCTAAAAAAACCTATAACAACAAATAAGAAAATTTGAAGTGTCTCTTTCATAATATAAAATTAACAGCTTTGCGCTAAATGTATGTGAAAGTATATACGGTACTGACACTAAAAATTAATTAAAAAATTTTTGGTTTTATGTCGCTCTTATTAATCTATGAAACGGCCGAACCGATTTTGATGGGACTTTCAATCGCTGATAGCTAATGGTATAAGGAGTAACTCGGCTACTTTTATGTTAGATATTTTATTTATAAAAACTTTGTACCCCATTTTACGAAAATTTCGGAGAGAAGTATGAAATTTCGCATACTTATTAAAACATCGCACAAAAAAAATACACATACTAACATGCATTTGACACACACACATATCAAATCTTTATATATAAAAATTACGTGTCACGTTGTTTGTCCGCGATGGACATCTAAACTACTGAACCGATTGCAAATTTGATCCAACTTAAAAGATAGGATAGCTTACATCACAATTTATCAGTATCAATTTATAGTCGCTATATAATTTTATTGCAAATTTAATATAACAAATTATATTAATATTGTTTTTTTTTAATATTTAGTTCTACCAAATGTGAACGCATATTTTAAATTAATTATACTTTAATTTCGACCATAGAGCCCTAATTTCTTTTTGAATACCCGTCTTACGGTTACCATATCCTAGGGACTGATACACCAGACGGTCACGTTGCGTTGCCGACCCATAAGAAACCTTTATATACCCTTCTTGAAAAACTCCATGCTGTAGTCTCTCGAGATAATAGTTTAATAAATAAAAAAGTTGAATTAGTATGTCATACGATGGAGGCGTCAAGAATTATAAAAACCGTCGCATATGCATC